CTTGGGTTACAGTGAAAACTGTGACTTTTCGCAAAAGGGTGTGACCCCAGCGGCATGGCGAACTTTGATGTCACGCCATGAAGAAACAAATTAGTATAACTCAATGAAATCCAGCCTGATCAGTATCAGACTTTACAGGCATGATGTCAGACCCGCCCTGAACAGATTGATGTGCCCATTGTCGGGAATACGGACAGCGCCACCTAGTGGCAACAGGAAATGTCATGGCTTTAATTTTGTTGTACTGATTTTCACAGGTTCATCGTGGCCACCTCAAAAGCGGTGAATATCACCATCAGTCCCTTGTGATGCTTCAGTGCAAAAATTGTGACTTTAAACTGAACGCCGCACCCTGGTGGCAACGCGGTTCACCATGAAAGATGAAGTGGCTTTTGAGGGGCTTGGAAAGTTTAAAAAGTCTTGAAATTTGGCGCACACCTCCAATGTGTATAAGGCTTTGTTGTTATGTGATCATTTTCATTGAATATCCCAAAATGGCTCCACAGCGCCCCCTAAAAAATTTCAAAATCACAGCCCCTGCTCTGTGTTTTATGTATGAGTCTGAAACCTGGTAAGCTTATAGGAGATATCAAGATGTACAAAAAAGTCTCTTGGAGCAATATCCCAAATCCAACAGGAAGTCAGCCATTTTAAAATTAATGTGCAATTTTGGCAACATTTTCCCCTTTTTTCAGGCATCGTTCTTTGACGAACTCCTCCAAGGGATTTCATCATATTGCACTATTCTTCAGTGTGTGGAATCCAAAGACCTTTGTGTTGTTAAATTGCGAAGCTTTTTACGTTCAGTGAAACGGGGTGGTTATGGCGGCACGTAGACTCTCAATCACTCGCCAAAACGCAGTAATCTGCTGTTACTCAAAAACACAATGTCCAATCTCACCCAAAGGTCGCAGGCATAATGAGACTCGAGTTCGGAAATGTTTGTTATGCCATTTGTACATAATGGTTAGAGTGCCACCTAGTGGAACGACTAGCTAATTATGAATGAATGAGTTGAAATGTTAGCTGGTGGTTAAATGCATGAATTCCATCAATGTGACATCAGATCGGACGTGCTGGTTTTAGGTGTTGGGCGTGGCTCGACGCGCCGGGGGTGCGAGGGCCCTCATAACGCTGCTTGCAGCTTTAATATTATTTTTGTTTTCCTGAAAAACTTTATTATAGTAATCTTTCTTAGCTTTCCTCAATATTAATACCAACTTATTTTTATATAGTTTATATTTCATTTCCGCATTTTTAGTTCTATATATTATATACTCCCTATATAAATTATTTTTCTTTTTACACGCATTTGCAAGACCCTTAGTTATCCAAGGTTTCATATTTATATTCTTTTTCTTATGCTTAAATGATATCAATGGACAATGTTTATCATACAAGGCCAAATATATATTTAGAAATACTCCGTATGCAATGTTGACCTCATTAACATAAACCTCCTTCCAGTCCGTTTCCATGAGATCTTGTCTAAACCTATTAAGTGATAGATTCCCTCGTCCTCTTGATTTGTCTTCAAAATGGTCAGGTTGGTAAAGTGTTTATTGTGATTTACCTTCAATCTGGAGTTATTAAACTCAGGCGCAAACTCAGGTGTTGCAGATTCCCTCATTGTCCAAATTACTTTCAGAGTGTCCCCGGCACGCTGCTTGTACCAGTGGACTTCTTTACGAATGGTCTCAATCACAGGCAGTTGACATGGAATGGTTACAGTTTCCCCAAGTTGAACTGAAGTTACTGGAACAAGTGTATCTAATTTCATAGAAAACACACAGAAATCTAAAACATTAATTCACAATGACACAGGAAAACCACCAAGCAAACAGCATGTATTCAAAACGAAATCAGAAAAAGCACTTACATCCTTGATGGAGAAGAAGGAGCGTAACCCATAACACGATCATCTTGACATGTCTTTTGTTATGGACTTGTAGGTATCTCACTGTTTGTAGGAGGTACTTGGACCTTTTATGTCAAACTGTTACACCGATCTGATTGGCTGATTGGTTATCACAGAATATATAGATCAGAATCAGAGAATGAAGTGAACTTCCTGTCACTTTGTTTCATCCAGGTCTTTTAGGAGTAAAGCGTCTGTTGCTTAGCCATTTCGTCACTCATTTTAAGTATAATACAAGGCATTTTTTAAGTTTTTCCAGCAAGTTCTCCAATGATCAATTTGTCATTTGTTTCTACCTTCTGGCAATAATTCATTTCAGAATTTCTAAATAGGCTTCTTTCTACTTTAAAATGTTTAAAATGTTTATAATGTAGGTATGTAAGTGGATTCAAGTCCTATCTGGGGACATCTTAAAGCTTTGCTTTGACCCAGTACATGTTTTTATTTTCGCTTCCTGCCTGGTTAGGTTTAGGCAGTAAAACTAGGTTAGGTTCTGCATCTGAACAGACCATTTTACACCACTAAAATGTTTTAGAAAGCTGTTTCTTATGTTAGCTGAGTTATTGTGCACTACACTATCAAAAAGCAAATGCATTTATTTTTATAGCAGTTATAGGTCCCTTTATCTGGCAGCATGGTGATGTGGTAGTCAGTGCTTTTACCTCACAGCAAGAAGGTTCTAGGTTTGAATTGAGACCAAAGCCTTTCTATGTGGAGTTTGCATGTCCTCTCCGATTACACCTTACTTTCATTGTCTTAGTGGAAGAAAACAGATGGACATATCTTCCCCAGCAAACATTTTGTTCCATTTACAACAAAAAAATAAAGCAAAGTGTCAGATATCCAGTGATATGGCCCACAAATAACTACATTTACCAAATGTTAGGGAAACCTTTTTTAGGCAATTTAAAAAAATAGCTGATGGATCAGATTTTTTGTAGGTCAAGCTCTAATAATGTTATGCTTGCTCCATGCAAGGCTGTATAGCTCCAAGTTTTACGTTATAAGTAGCAACTGCTAAGATTATGATTGCCAAAACAGATTAAAGGAGCATCTCCAAAGGAAGTGACAGGTGACAATGTAGAGCAGCGACCATAAAAAATCTATAAAATTTGCATTTCAACATTTCAGGTGGCTGCAGCTGAAATATTTGTTGGTTACATGAAGGTAGTGGGTCTAATGTTAATCTCTCGCAAATTCAAGTAGGTGATTACAATGAGATTGAAGAATGCCATTGATTGATATGTGAGAGGGTGGTAAATGATATGTGAGAGGGTTACCTAGCTAATCGTAACTCGGATTGTCCCCTAGTATGTTTTCACACAAAAAAAACCCCAAAACAGCTGTGAAAAAGGTGTGATTTTGCATTCTCTTATTATCTTATATATATTGGTCAACAAACTCAGTATTGGTTCCATTTCTGTTTGTCTTCTACATACTTCAAAACAATTCTAGGTCATTTTCCCTATAGACAATCCTGCAGTGCTGTATAACTGACAGCCAGGTGGAGGAATGCCGAACATTAGAGGAATATTTTGGGGTGTGCCTTGAGAGAAATCATCTAATTCTACACAGGGATAAAATCAAAGGATTAATGTTCAACTTCAAAGAGAAGAGTACTATTATAAAGCCCTTGTCATCCTGGAACAGGATGCTGATGTCAGGGAGGAGTCCTCACCTGAATGTCCACTTCAACAACGAACTGAACTGGAAGACCAATGGAGAGGGTAAATTAAAAAAAAAAAAGGTAATGAGTGGACTGCATTTTATGTAATTGTAGGATTTACTGTATCAAAAACCTAAAACTGGTCTGCCTGAAATACTTTGCGACATTTTTCATTTCTGTCGTTTCTGCTTTTTATTGCACTTGATCAAAATATTAAAATACTCGAAATCTTGTCATTTGATCTTTTTCCTTACAAAGGACAGTTACAAACTCTACATTATCAGAGACAACCCACCCAGTCTGCTTGTCAGTTATTTAAGCGGTAAGATACAGTTGCACCAGTAATGGTTGTGGTCACACTCTCTATCCTCTACGCTTACTTACTTCAGAGCGCCACTCTCACTGTGTCACAAAACACACACCGATCTGGAGGTGTCACATAAACACACTGACCTGAAAGCTTCTTCCTCAACAGAGATATATGTGCCAAAGTGACAGAAAATCCAAAAAGCAAATAAAATGCTGCATCTCAAATTCAAGACTTAAATATTTGTACAGACAGTAGAAAGATTTAGGTAATAAAACAAAAATATTTAAGAATCAATCAAGCAAGGCTTTATTCGCCACGTGCAGGTTCCCCTGCAGTGAAATAGGACCCCCGCCCCCCGACCACACACAACACAGACATCACATGGGGATATGGGGATACAGGTCGGAGATCGGTAGCGTTACAGAAAAAAAACCCACTGAAATATACACTACAATGGGAAAGTACAAGAGGAAAAAAGAGACTTCTACTCATGCTGGGCTCCTGGGAGGACAGCATGAAAGTCATTAAAAATCCATGCTGCACAATCATTTCACCCTGGAAAAAGAACAATTCAAAGAAATAATTAAAGCCAGCACTCCTGGCTAAAAAAAATCTTACATTTTTCAAAATCTGTTGAAAAATGTTGGAATATATTGTTAAAGAAAAGCATAACATTACAACTTTGCACTAGTTTCACTTTACCTGATGTTAATGACATAAATTCAAACATATCAGGTTTTCCAGTTGAACTCGCCTTTTCCAGTCACTTTTTATTTTAACAGAATGGGAAGACAGTAGGGGAATGATGCGAGCATCCATGTGGTATGCACTTTAACTACTTTGACTTTTCAGTCATGGTGTAATCAGCTTCAGTAATGTCTGTTTTGCACTGATTTCTTAAGTACTGGTTTCAATATAGACTTAAATGAAATGAGAAAAAAGAAATAAAAACTCATCATAAGACTGCACTAGAAATGTTGCAGTATGCATGCGGTCACATTTTTATAGATAGAGGTATAGAACAACAACACATTATAGCTCATTCGCTTTAAGCAAATATCCACAATGTTATATGACATAAAGGGATGATGGGGTGGTAAACAGATCTAATCCAGTCCAAAAGCCTTGACAGCCATGTAGATCTGCTGCCGCTTCACTGCATCCTGTCTTTTGTATTTGTCAGCCTTCATCATCGTAAACACAACAGCAGAAAACATCAATGTGTCCTTTTCTGGGAAAATACAATACAAAAATATTATAAACATTAAAACTTGAAAATCTAACACACTCTACCATTAGGTACTTTACCTGTTGGCTTTTCAAATCACCAAAGTTTTTCTCCAGGACAGCAGCTTGAATATAGGACATATAAGTAATTAATGCAAATGTAAGATTCATAACATCTAGAACTCTGAATAACTCCAACTACCTTTGCAATAATCACTGTTGGTTTTCTTGATTGTGTAAGCGAGGACAGCAATAACAATCAGAACCAGTACAGGACACAGCAGAAAAATAACTGTTGTGGCACTCTGTGACCACACGCTGCACCCTGGGACAATATTAAAAATAAATATATGACAAAATTAAAGTTACACAATCACTTATTTTTCTGATTTTCTAAACAATAGACAGAAAGAGAAGCTGAGAGAGAAACTGGTACCTTGAATGTCCAGTTTAGTTCCTTTTCCATACAATATCTCCCCACATGTGGCAACAGCACAGTAGTAAGTCCCAGCATCAGAGGAGCTGATGTTCTTAGAGAAGCGATACGCACAGCTCTTTTCAGTCTCTGATCTTTTCTCACATTCATGATGTCCGTTTCCATTAGTATAGATAATACTAGGATGAGATCTATGTGATCCTTCTTTGAACCAGAATACCTCAAGACCCCCTGGACATGTCTTATTAACTGAGCTGGAGAGAACTGAACATTGGAGAGTCACTGAGTCTCCTAGACGGGTGGTCTTCTCCTGAACAACGGTATAGTTTGATATCCTCTGGGTGTTTCCTTTGGAATATGAAACCGCATTAACAAATGATACTACAAAGAAAATTTGTATATATATATTTCAAATATAACTTTAGCTGTAACATTCAGTCTAACGATTACAATGAATATATTTAGATGCATTTGGATTTATACAGAAATTTGAGAAATATAGATGATGTCCAACTGGGAAAGAAAAATCGTACTTAGAGATAACATTTCTTAACATTTATAAAGTGCATTTATAACATCTTAAAATTGCATGAAAGGAAATCACATTATTACCTTTTACTAACAAATATGTCCCCGTCCATGTAGTATCTTGGAGCCACTCTGTGAACCCACAGTGATAGATTCCCTCATCCTCTTGATTTGTTCTCAAAATCGTCAGGTTGCTAACATTTTTATCATAATCAGCCTCCCATCTTGAGTTATCAAATTCAGGTGCAAACCTAGGTGTTGCAGATTCCTTTAGTGTCCATATTATTTTCAGAGTGTCTCCAAGACTCTGCTTATGCCAGTGGATGTCTCTGCGGCCAGTCTCAGTCTTGGGTAGAACACATGTGAAGGTTACAGGTCCCCCGAGGTGAGCTGTAGTTACTGGAACGAGTGCAGCTAAATAGAAAACGAAAATCTAAAAGTCAGACAAAGCAATGCAGGAAACAGCTTACATGTGTGGGAAAAATTTGTATAAACACTTACATCCTCGATTAACAAAGAGCAGTGCAATCCATAATCTGATCATCTTGTAAAGGCCTTGTGTTATGGACTTAGGTGCTTGACTGACTGTGGGAGGCATTGAAACATGGGCCCTTTATGTCACCCTTCAAATAGATCTGATTGGTTATCTCTGAATACAGATTCAAGAGCTCTCCCTCTTACATTGGTTGCATCCACGTATTTGAAGAGCAAATTAAATGTTTCTCATTCAGTCACTCATTTAAATTATAATCTAATTCATTTTCTATTGAATGTTGTGTTTCATCATTGTTCCATTTCTGCTTGGTTAGTTTTAGCCAGTAAAACCAAGTTAGATGCTGGATTTAAACAGAGCATTTTAAACTTAAAACCCCTCAGAAAGTTCTGTTTTTTATGTTACCTGAGTTACTGTGCGCTGAAGACACAAGCAAAGATTTTATATGCATTTATTCATACAGATGTCAGAGGTTGCTTACTTTACAATTGGTCAATCACATATTGCACAAATTATTCTTTTTGTGAAGTCCCACAGCTAGACTGTATTCTTTGTAATTCTGTGAAAATATGAAAACAAATGCATAGATCTTTTTTTATTAATCATATTAGATCACATAACTCCATCTTACTAATCAGTCTAAAGTCTTCAGATGTTGGGTACTTTGGTGATTAGTACTTCTGCCTGACATGAAATAGGTTTTGGGTTTCAAATATAGGTTGGGGCCTATATCTGCATGCCCTCTCTGGATACTCTTGCTTCATCCTCCAATCCAAAGACATGAATGGTGTTAGGTTAATTGGTCATTCTAAATTCAGTAACACGTGTCAGTGTGATAATGAGTGGTTGTCTCCCTGTCACCCATGTAAAAGGCTGTGTCCCAATTAAGAGACTGCACGCTTTAAGTACGCATTTTAAGTGCGGTTACGTCACCACCACGCGACGACGGCTGTCCCAATTCGAAGTGTGCTTCAAATGCATACTCCAAATGCGCCGTCGATTTCCCCAAATTTCAAGCGTGGTCCGGTGCACGCTTCGTGGTCCCATATATCCCACAATTCATAGCGCGGCGGTGGGTGTGGATAATTTTGCCGCAAAATACGGCAGAAGGGAGCGGCCGAAGAGGTTGTTTTTTTTTCTTTCAAAACTTTATTGAAATTATAAAGCGAACAGTCAGTCATTCCAGTTCAATTTGTAGAGTAGACATACAAGGCAAATAAGAGTAACAATATACAGTACAATGAAATAAGAAGGATAAATAAATAAAGGATAATAAAGAAAAAAAGAAAAAAAAGGGGGGGGGGGGGGGGAATGTGACAGACTTTATAACAACTTTGTATTTGAAAGTTGTGACAGCTCATTCGTTACACATTTCTGAATGAATTTCAATCGAGGATAAACCTTTTATATTGGAAGTTAATTTAAGAGAGTTCGAGTAATATTCAATTTCAATCAAAAACAAATTAAATGAAGGGGTTGAGTCTTGAAATTGACATGTATGTATATGGAATTTCCCTAATAAGATGGAGCGGCCGAAGAGTGAACTGTCAAAAGTATTGAATATGACGTCACTTATTTATGTGCGAATGTTTAATTATTAAAGTCAGTCATATATCCACAAACACAACAAGCTGAAAGTCAGTGATATGTGTGTATATATATATATCATAATAATCTGACAATAATATAATATTGGCCATATTATATTTACATTACCACAGTGAGATTGCTTTAGTCTCGTGAACAACATTAACTAATTGTTATTTACTAACTAATCTTAAATGACTGTTCAGCACAGAAATGAAGCCCAACAATCATGTTTTACAGTCCTGTGGTCTCAGCCTCAGATACTCAACTAATCAAAGTGATGTCATGACAAAAATGAATGACTTACAAAACATTTTTCTCCTTCATTTCTGTCAAACAAAGCTGTATGTAACGTGTCTCACGGTTAGTATCATGGTTGCTAGCCAACCTGAACAGCGCGACGAAGCGTATACCGTCCCATTTCACAAGCCTCTCACTTCCGCACTTCTCGTACTTATAGTACGCACCGTACGTAGTACGCGTAGTGCGCGTACTTCAAGCGTGCAGACCCTGAATTGGGACACAGCTAAAACTGGCAACCTCTCCAGGGTTTACTCCACCACTTGCCCTGTGACAGCCAGCCTCCTGTCACCCTGAAGTAACTAAGTGGAAGAAAACGGATTGATGGATCTTAAAAAGGCTAATTTCATAATCTTGTTTATTTGTAGCAAAATCAAACAGGGTATTTATGGCATGGCTACCATAATCACCATACAGTGATATGGTGGCCAATATAGCCAACATGTTCAAGTTGAGCCTTCACCGCAGTAAAAGCACAAACCAACAGGTGGCATGACAGTGGATATAGCCATCTTGTCAAGTGTGGTGGTGTGGATACAGGACACAAACGCAGGGCTCTCTCTGCAGAATTAGGGATTTTATTTACAGTGAAACAACACTGACGAAAAGTGCAACAGTCCTCTATGTGTGAGTTCCTTTTCCCCTTTCGTGCTCACTCTCCGTTCCCCTGCTGTGACGTCTACTGTGTCCATGGTGAGTGGTGTTTATGTACAAAAGTGCTCAACTCCCTCCACTTGTGTCTGCAAACTAAACAAGCAAACGATGAGTACCTGCCAACTCCACTCTGAAACTCTGTCATACACTTTTTGATGACTCTCAACGATCCAGCTTCGACTGAAGCTCAGCTCAGCTGTTAAATAACTCTTCACATGGGGTTGATCGGCAACAGCTAAGTGTCAGTAACTTTCAAGTGTGGCTGGCTTGGCAGTGGGAAACTCCCTGAACCTGACATCTCCATAAAACCGCCGTACCCACAGTCTGTGTCTGCAGATATACAACAGTTACAGTTTTTGTGGTTGATTTTATTTTTTAAAAGACACTTTAAAAAAAAAAATAAGCACATTAACGTAGCTGAAATGATCAGTTCTATTTGTTTTTTATAACTAGTCTGTTTAAGTGCCTTAAGGCTCGTCTCGCATTTTATCTAGGGAGAAAGCTCACAGTGATATCTGTTGTGAGTGAACAGATTCAGTGTTTGTTCAAGAGGCAGAGAAATTGGCCATTACAACGTTTGTCTGTCAGTGTATCTGATGAATGTGGCTTTGCTTGCTCTTTTCTTTTGACATGCAAAGGGGCATTCACTACAAGCATAAGACATAAAAAGATATAATAGAAAGACACTTATAGCTCAGATTCTAGTGTTTTTTGCTTGTTTATTTGCTTGTTTTCTTTTCTAAGCAGCAAAAAATTTAACACCGTCTCAGCGACAATTCACACCAGTATCAGTGCTCTATCAAACAGACCTACCTTTGTGGTTTTGGCTACATTTTTATTGTGCTGCTAAGCAAAGAAGAAGATAACTTTACAAACAATGAATTTATTTATAATTAATATTTACAATAGATTTATACCATTAAGGTTAACAGAAGTGAATAATAAGCAAACTGACCAAGGCTAAATTACAAACACAAAACTCCACGCTCTGGCCAGAACAAAAGTAGCACTAAGCTATAAGTTGAAACAAAACTACAATGCCAAGAATTTTTTTTTAATCTTATACTCAAGTAAGACTATGTCATTAAAGAAGAGTATAATTCTACACACTTGCACTGAACTCACTCTGCCTGCTATTAATGATATAAATTCAAACATATATGTCATTTCAGGCTATGAACTATGCAGCTTTTAGTTGCTCCACAACAAAAGTAAAAGAATCAAAGAAAAAAAAGAGAGGAGAGTCACTAGCAGACTGTGGACACTGCAGGTTTTCTGTCAGATTAGCATCATCAATCCTCTGTATAGGCAGAAAAAGGCCAGAGCAGCAGTCCTTTAACAGATGCTTAAAAACCGATGGGACCCCTGTTTTGTTTTGTTTTTTAAATTAAGGTTATTTTGGAGATAGTTAATGATGATGCAATAAGCTTACTGGTGATTGACTGAACATGTTATTATTAACAGGAACAGAACAAAAAAAAATGAAATACAAAAAAAAAATAAAATTAAAGTCCATTGGCTCTAAGGAAACATCCTCAGTGTTATGGGGGTAAGCATGGGAAACAGATCTAATCCGGTCCAAAATTCATGGAAATCTGCTGCCTCTTCACGGCCTTTATGTTCTTTTTATCTTGTATCACAGTAAAGATGACAGCAGAAAACACTGATGTGTCCTTTTCCTGGAAAAATAAAAAAAATATTAGAAACATCAAAACCAGAAAAACTAGTAATGCACACACACTAAACACTTTTTTACGCTTTATTCAACATTTGTACACTCTTGGTGTTCCTGGTCAAAAATGACCAAGCATTCAGTTACACCCCCTTTTGTAAGATGAACATACATACGCACTGATCCATATGTATAATGCATGCACATATGAGCACAAACATTGTTTCAGTAGTATCTAACTTTTTCTCATAGGTTGGGTATTTAATGCTCACAGGTCACTGTGTGACAGCATCATGCCAGGTCAATATACCCTGAGGGCGGCTCTTTATTACGTATTTGATTACTAGACAGGTGATTAGGAAAGAGGCCACGACACTGGCAGTAAGGATGGATTAAAGGAGCAAGTGTCAGAAGCTGAAGATGTCATGGAATATAATCCAGAACAAGAAATGACAGATGAGGAGCAATTCAGTGATGAAGAGGAAGGCCATGATGAGGCCATCGCATTTAAGTCAAAGAATGGAAACGTATCAACACCTGAGAATTAAATTGGGCCTTCAGCTGAAAAGGTCATCAGGATGACCGCAGGACCTAAAAATATGCCATATCCTGGATTGGTGATGTCAAATTCTGCTTTGAACAGAGTCCATCAAAACCATAGTGGTAAATTTGACCAACTTGGAAGGGAGACAGATTTACAAAGATAATTGGAGTGTGTCGAGCGCCATCCACTCATCTGTCAGACGCAAGTGCAGTTTGGGGGAAATTTCCTCCATACAAAAATAAAATATTTCCGTTAGAGTTTTGACAGGGAACACAGCAAGTGTTATCTTCTGTGACTGTATAAAAAATTTGAATTGTTTCACAGCAAATGTCCATGGTAACTTTGGCCCAAAGCAGTCTGTAATGTTTCATCTGATTATTGCTTATTGTCAAAGTAATGCACAAATTATGTTTTTTAGAATATGAATTCAAGGCATATTAGCTCAGCTTTTGTGAGTCCTAATGAAAAATTGTTTAACACAAAATAAACACAACATGACCGATGTACCATTATTTACTTTACCTGTTGTCTTTTGAAATCACCAGAGTTTTTCTCCAGGATAGTAGCTTGAATATAGAACATATAAATAATTATTAGAAATGTAACATTCATCCATTTTGTTAACTTCACAGACAGCTATGAACTTTGATTACCTTTGCAATAATCACTGTTGGTTTTCTTGATTGCGTAAGCGAGGAAAGCAACAACAATCAGAACCAAGATGGGACATAGCAGAAAAATAACTGTAGTGGCACTCTGTGACCACACGCTGCACCCAGGAACTAAATTAAAGGTAAAAAAACAACAAAAATAAATTTAAGGACAATATAAATTACAAAATTACCTTTTTTAAATTTTACCTTCTATGAAATCACTATGAACGTGAAACAAAAGGCACTTATTTTTCTGATATTCTAAGAAACAGCTAAATGAAACCAGTACCTTGAAGTTTAGTTCCTTTTCCAAACAATATCTTCCCACATGTGGCCACAGCACAATAGTAAGTCCCTTCTTCTGAGGAGCTAATACTTTTATTGAACTGATAAACACAACTCTGCTGAGTCGCAGAGTTACTCCCACATTCATGATGTCTGTTTCCATCAGTGTAGATGATGCTAGGATGAGATGGATTTGATCCTTGTCTAAACCAGAACATACTGAGACCTCCGGAACATGTCTTGTTATCAAAATTAGAGAGGAGTGAACAATGAAGAGTGACTGAGCCTCCTGGAGGGGCTATTTTCTTTTGAACAACAGAATAGTTCGATGTTCTCTGGGTGTTTCCTGTCAAAATAAATATATTAACAAATGTGATTATAAAGAATACTGAAAGAAAAATAGAACAATAGTTTCAACATGTGTTACTTAAAAGATATATTTCACTTAAGGATCACTGGAAACATAAAAAAAACCCAAATCAAATGTATCTTAAAGGTAAATTTAATAATATTTGAAAATATTTAAATTGAAAGTTTAGTGATTTTTTTTTCTAAACATGCTCATTGATAAATTATTATCTTTAGTATTTATGTGATAAAGTTTTAGTTGCTGAAGCAAAATGTTATAGAAGAATCACATTATTACCTTTTACCAACAAATATGTCGCAGTCCATTTGGTATCTTGGAGCCACGCTGTGAATCCACAGTGATAGATTCCCTCGTCCTCTTGTCTTGTCCTCAAAATGGTCAGGTTGGCCAGATTCTTGTCATAATTAACATCCCATTTTGAGTTTTTGAACTCAGGTGCAAAGGCAGGTTCTGCAGAGTCCTTCACTGTCCAAATTCTTTGCAGAGAGTCTCCAGGACTCTGCTTGTACCAGTCGACTCTACGCCTGTACTCGGTCTTAGGCAGGTCACACAGCAAAGTTGCAGGTTCACCGAGTTGAACTGTAGTTACTGGAATAAGTGTATCTAATTTGAAAGAAAACATACAAAACCTAAAACATTAAGTCACAATGATGCAGGAAAGCACCAGGTAAAAGTGAACGATAAAGCCAACGTACTTATATGTTGAAAATAACGTTAATAAAATAATAAAGCACTTACATCCTCGATGAAGAAGAAGCAGTATGACCCACAACGCATTCATGTTGGTATTCTCTCTTTTTAGTGACCTTGTAGAAATTTCAGTCAGTGTAGGGGGTAACATGGACCTTTTACACCACACTGTCAAATGCATCTGATTGGTTATCACAGAATAAATATTCAAGTGCAGTTCCTGTCACATGGGTCTTATCCAGGTCTTTGATGAGCAAATTGCCTTTTTCTTTATCCGGCTTCTCACTTTTTTTAAATATAACATAAGCCTTTTGTAGTTTTTGTTAGAGACAAAATTTTACTTCAACTTTCCCTGCAGTGTCTTAAAAGTTTACAATAGGATGTAGAGGAGCAGTTGTATGAACACACCTGACTTTCACTCAGAAGACTGAGGTTTGAGTCTTATCTGGAATATTTTGGTATTTACTCACTGAGTACTGTGAAGTTTAGACAATAGCTACTTGGTGTTTTTAGAAACCAAACCTACTTAGTGGGACTTGGGTTCCCATCGTGTCACCTTGCTGGTTCTATGACTCAGTGTTTCCAGTTTTCTTATTTTTGCATTTTACTATTGTTTAGTTTCCTCGTTCTTCCTGCTTTAATCATTTGTATTTCTGGTTGTGACTTCTTGTTCATTTAATCTGTTCTCATTTGTGCCTCCCTGTGTAGTCTATCGTGTATGTTTAGTTCTGTCTCATTCTTCTGTGTTCCATGTTTCTCACTTTGTTTCTCTTGTCTCTCTGCTCCAGGGTCATGCATCCAGTTCTCCATTTAGTCACATCTCCGTTTCTCAGTGTCAAGTCTGTGTCTTTGTGAATGTCTTGGTTTCCTGTTTTACTTTGACAGTCTTGCATCATTTGTTAATGTTTCCAGTTTTTCTTCCTTCCCGTCTCGTTATGTGTGATTACTCCTTACTCCCAGCTGTGCTCTCCTCCTGTATCTCATTCCCTTGTTATCTCTCGGTGTGTCCCTCTGCCTGTTGTTGCCTTGCTGTGAGTTTCCTCCGTGCTTCTGGTAAATACCTAGTTTTCTGTTGCTGGTTGAGTTTTTTTTTAGTTTTCTAGTTAGAGTTTCATGTCTCTAATTTCTGGTTTAGTTCTCTTGTATTTAGTGTTGAGTTTTGTACAGCAAAATAAAGCTACGTCCTTTAGTTTATCCTTCTGTGTCTCGAGTCCTGCATTTGTGTCCTACATTCTGCCTGTCACACAGCTAAACATGAAACACAGAGCATTTTACAGTTTTGGAAAGGCAGTGTTCTTGGCTTTTCATGGCTACCAGGATTTCCATTCTCTGACTTCTGTAAAAGCAAAAACACAGGAATACATTTTTCCATATCATTAGAGGTTGCTTAATGTTACAATATGTTATAAGTTATAATAACATTTTACACAAATAACTTTTTTCACAAATCTTATCTGGGGGAGGAAAATTTGCAGACACAGCTGTTTGGAGACCTAAACACACTTGCATCAACTTCAAAACACTGGGTATTACAACAAGACTTACCGAATATATTGTAAAAATGAATGAGTATAGCCAAGTGTTTACGCAGTTAACGAGCATGCCCAAAGCAGCAGTGTCCATAGTTCAAATCTTAATGAGTTTTGAATTTCTAGATCAGTACCGGTCCGTGGCCCGGGGGTTGGTTCTAATGTGCTGCATACCCATTAATCCACCCCATTCTCCTCTCATGTAAGTGTTCCCTCTGCCACAGTTCAATATTCCATCGAACCCACTGAAGTAATTATTCATCTTTTATCTACAGTCCCCTGTATATCCGTGTATCAGTCATTGAGCTGTACTAACTCTGGTTCTTGATATAGAAACCTTCATGTCAAAATGTGTGTGAAGAAAACATGTAGCATCGCAAAATTGTTGCTTAACATTGTTTTCTATGGCGTCAAAATGGCTTCTCTCTTGGTTGTAGTACTAATGCTTCAAAATGGATTACACTGTCTAATAAGCAATGTCAAAATGGATATGCCCATCTTTAGTTTTTGACCTTTCACGTTCTCTCGCTTTTCTCTTTCACAAATTTAACCATTAGAATACACATTTCTATCTCCGATCGGGATTTCTTATTGGACTGGTGACTTCTATCTGACTATCATGCATATCATGATTGTCTGGCATCCTCATCTGTCAAACCTCTGCTTGTCCTCCTTCAAACCACTCAAAAGTAAGCTCCACCCACTCCACCCTGCTGCTATCATTATGCCACAAATCACCCCAGACACTTCCCTCCGCCCACTCCACCCTGCCTACACTCTGTTCTTCAGCTCTGTTGTGCACTCTCTATTGCTTTGGAAGATTGACCCTAGGTGTTTGAACTCATCCACCTTCACAACTTATGCCTTGCACTTCTCATTTCTACTATTTCTCTGTCACTGCTCACACATCTGCCGTGACTCTGTTCTCATGCTTGACTTGCACAACCTTCACATACTTGCATATTAAAAACTAAGAGAACTATTAAAATGTTTCCGGGTCCTGACATTACACATTGCCATTTGCTGTCACATCTGCAGTTTGTTTTTTTGATTTTTACAATTATCATTTTAATTCATTTTAACTGAAACAACCATCAACAATCTGGCACATGAAGTTAACTTTGTGTTAAAGTATATAATCTAGTGTAGCCTTACTGTGTTTCTTTGATGGTAGTTCATTTTTTGTTTTTTCCAATACCATGTAAGTAAAATAATTTAATTGTAAAGTAAATGAACATTATTTTCTGTTAAGACAAATGGTTACATAACACCCCATGTTTTCTAAGCTTTAATATAAAGATGTCTAAGCCTTCAAAGCAATGCAGTTCTTTATAATGTGATGCAACGTAAAAATGTCCACATGTCACCCATTTTGAGTAGTCATATTTCACAGCGATGTCAATTCTGTGTTCCACAGTTGTGAGGAAGAAGTAAAAACCTAAATGTAGAGTCACATTGCAGAGTATTTAAAAAAAGAAATGAGAACTAATATAAATCTAAAGTTAAACAGAGTCCAAAGAGAAACAGACAAAACAAAACAAGGAACCAGGATGAATGGAGAACATGCAGAATAACTCATAGCAGCACATGAGGAATGAACTGACACTTGCACAAAGAGGAACAGAGGGTTACATAATATGTACAAACAGAGGGCTGACTTTAATAATATAAAATAGCTTTTATTAGTCCCATAGTTGGGAAATTCACAGGGCACATAGGCAGGGAACACACATTAAGTAATATTTAACACTATTAATAATTGTGTTAGTAATTAACGAACATTAGACAAAAGAGGGATGTGAAGCCACCAAAGAGCATCACAGCTTCTTCCCAAACCAAAAAACCCCAAAACAAACAAACAAGCAAACACATTTAAACAAAATAGCACACACAAAAACTGGACTTCTACAGAATACAAATGTGTGTGATGTTAGACTTGAGGAACTGCATAGTATTCAGTATGACAAAGAAATTCTTCAGAAGGGATATCAAGCCTCAATGCTGTTAAGTCCTACAGATTCCAGTTTTCCAGAACAACTATAGTACTAATGAGCATACATTATTCAGTACACAAATAGTTAATTTATGGCTAAAACACTGACATCACTGTAGACTGTTTCTCCCTCTGTCACTTTTTCATTCCTTCGCTCTACTTTACCATTTTTCCTCCTGTTGAAAGTTGGTACAGTATAAACCATGAGGTCCTCTTCTGTCTGAGGAAATAGATGAAGTTTATGATGAGATGGGAATGTTAATTATAAACACGTAGCTAAAACATTAAAACATTTAAATTTTTTCAGTTTTACCTGCTGACCTTGCTGATCACCATCACTGCCTGTTTGGAAGACAGAGACGTTTAAGATGAAAGATGCTGTAGGCTGATTACAAAACAAACAAACAAACAAATAAATAAATAATGTCTATTACCATTCCAACAATCACAAGAGTTTTTCTTGATGGTATAGATGAGGAAACCTATAACCATCAGACTTGTAACCAAAGCAGCACATAACAAAAAGAGAGCTGTGTTGGCCGTCTGCAAATCCCACATGTCAAGTGCTGTAAAAAAATAATCACCCAATAATTGTGATTATTTTGGTAAAATTATCAATTAAAACAAATATATTTTATTGATCACATGGGTATGTTGTGCAGAAGTGTAAAATTTACCTTTAATGTCCAGTTTTGATTCATTTCCAAAAATGATCTGTCCACATATGGCCACAGCACAGTAGTAAGGCCCAGGATCAGAGGAGCTGACGTTCCTTGAGAAGCTGTAGACACATTTACGTTGTGAGGGAGCTTCAGGACTCCCACATTCATCACCACTGTTTCCATGAACATAAATGGAATGGGATTTCTCTGATCCAGCTCTGAACCAGTACACACTGGGATTTTCTGGACACGTTTTCTTCTCATACTTAGAGAGGACTGAACACCGCAGAGTCTCTTGGGCTCCTGAATGAATACGATCAGAAGATCGTATTTGTATGACATCAGGTTCTGGTCCTTTTGAAAAAGATTAACATAAATAAATAAATGAACTTTATTGAGATGCCATTGAACTGAACATTTTAAAATTAGACTCATAAGCACATAGACTTTTTTTTTTACCTTTGATTGTCAGAAATGTTCCCTCCAAAAAGGTCATAGCAAGCTGTCTGACTTTTATGCAGTAGTAAAAACCAGTATCACTTAGTTTAGTTTTACTGATTTGCATAATAAAGGTTCCAGGTTCTTGTTTTACTGTAATATGAGACGTATTGTTAACATCGTCATAATCAAAGGTGAATGTTCCTCCCAAGAATTCAAACTGGTTTCCAGAAACAAGTCTGATCCAAAATAATGTTTCCTGGTGCAAAAGTGTTGACTGGCGAATACACGAAAGTGTCACATTTTGTCCAACATCAACAGTCTTTGTCACAAAATTGTGATCATTTGAGCAACCTGAAAAAACAAACAAACAAAAAAAGTTATGATACTTGTAAACAAATACTATTACAAACAAGAAAGATAAACTGTTGTCTGCCACGTGCTAAATTACTGTGAGAACATATGCATGGTACTTTAATTATAACTGCAACACGTCTTTGATACATACTTACCCCCCATTCTGGCTGACAGCAGTAAATAAAATAGGACCATCATTTTCTTATTAAAACACATTTACATTGGAGCATATGATGATATGACCAGCTTTAAAATAGACGTGCAATGTGGGAGGGAACAATTTTAGATCAGTCTGATTGGCCTTGCTTTGCTTTCTCATTCACTATATTACCACAGTGGAAATATCAACTATATTTCCTACATAAACACATGAAACAACACCAACAACTAGAACCAATCATGATTAGTGTGAAGCATTTCTTTTGTGTTGTGTAATTCAAACACATTAAACATAAAACATTCTTTTCATTATATGTTTAGAAAGTCTGACGTTTTCAGCTGAAACTAAATAGGTCTGTCTGACTGGGGCAAATACAAATCTACAGTGATGTGAAAGAGAAAGTACACCCCCTTTCAATCGTAATGTGTTTCACTCACTATTCTGAAACATTATTTATCAATAGACCCTGAGATTAACAACTCAGACACACAATTTCATTATTTATGTACAACAAACTGGGTTAAATTTAAGCAGAATAGGATTCAATAGCTGGATCGGAAAACTTTTAAAACCACCATTATGTCTCTGTGGAAGAATGTTGGCACACTTTTCTTTACAATACTGCTTCAGTTGTTTAGTTTGAGGTTTGTACTCTTTGACTATGTAAAGCTCTCTTGATGTCTGAATTTTGATGAGCTATCATAAGATCTTGACTCTTTTCTTTTTCAACCATTCTGTGGAAGATCTGCTGTTGCAGGATCTTTTTGTTGTTACATAATTCAGCTTTGGTCAAGCAGTTAGATGTTTGAGAGATGTGCTTACATCAGACTCTAGATTATTTTGATATACAGGGAGTGCAGAATTATTAGGCAAATGAGTATTTTGTCCACATCATCCTCTTCATGCATGTTGTCTTACTCCAAGCTGTATAGGCTCGAAAGCCTACTACCAATTAAGCATATTAGGTGATGTGCATCTCTGTAATGAGAAGGGGTGTGGTCTAATGACATCAACACCCTATATCAGGTGTGCATAATTATTAGGCAATGTCCTTTCCTTTGGCAAAATGGGTCAAAAGAAGGACTTGACAGGCTCAGAAAAGTCAAAAATAGTGAGATATCTTGCAGAGGGATGCAGCCGTCTCAAAATTGCAAAGCTTCTGAAGCGTGATCATCGAACAATCAGGCGTTTCATTCAAAATAGTCAACAGGGTCGCAAGAAGCGTGTGGAAAAACCAAGGCGCAAAATAACTGCCCATGAACTGAGAAAAGTCAAGCGTGCAGCTGCCAAGATGCCACTCGCCACCAGTTTGGCCATATTTCAGAGCTGCAACATCACTGGAGTGCCCAAAAGCACAAGGTATGCAATACTCAGAGACATGGCCAAGGTAAGAAAGGCTGAAAGACGACCACCACTGAACAAGACACACAAGCTGAAACGTCAAGACTGGGCCAAGAAATATCTCAAGACTGGTTTTTCTAAGGTTTTATGGACTGATGAAATGAGAGTGAGTCTTGATGGGCCAGATGGATGGGCCCGTGGCTGGATTGGTAAAGGGCAGAGAGCTCCAGTCCGACTCAGACGCCAGCAAGGTGGAGGTGGAGTACTGGTTTGGGCTGGTATCATCAAAGATGAGCTTGTGGGGCCTTTTCGGGTTGAGGATGGAGTCAAGCTCAACTCCCAGTCCTACTGCCGGTTTCTGGAAGACACCTTCTTCAAGCAGTGGTACAGGAAGAAGTCTGCATCCTTCAAGAAAAACATGATTTTCACGCAGGACAATGCTCCATCACACGCGTCCAAGTACTCCACAGCGTGGCTGGCAAGAAAGGGTATAAAAGAAGAAAAACTAATGACATGGCCACCTTGTTCACCTGATCTGAACCCCATTGAGAACCTGTGGTCCATCATCAAATGTGAGATTTACAAGGAGGGAAAACAGTACACCTCTCTGAACAGTGTCTGGGAGGCTGTGGTTGCTGCTGCACGCAATGTTGATGGTGAACAGATCAAAACACTGACAGAATCCATGGATGGCAGGCTTTTGAGTGTCCTTGCAAAGAAAGGTGGCTATATTGGTCGCTGATTTGTTTTTGTTTTGTTTTTGAATGTCAGAAATGTATATTTGTGAATGTGGAGATGTTATATTGGTTTCACTGGTAAAAATAAATAATTGAAATGGGTATATATTTGTTTTTTGTTAAGTTGCCTAATAATTATGCACAGTAATAGTCACCTGAACACACAGATATCCCCCTAAAATAGTTAAAACTAAAAACAAACTAAAAACTACTTCCAAAAATATTCAGCTTTGATATTAATGAGTTTTTTGGGTTCATTGAGAACATGGTTGTTGTTCAATAATAACATTATTCCTCAAAAATACAACTTGCCTAATAATTCTGCACTCCCTGTACAGTGGTGTCCTGGCTACAAAATAAGCCCAAATTATCACCCATGCGTCACTGTGCTTGATAGCTATTATGAGGTGTTAATGCTCATATGTTCTGTTTGTTTATCACCAAACTCATGGCACTGTCTATTATGGCTAAAAATCTCCAGCTTGATCTTCTCTGTTCAAAGAACATTGTTCCCGAAGTTTTGTGTTTGTTGAGATGAACAGTACACAGTACAGCAGTCTGCATGGTATTTGACAAAGAATAACATCAATTATAGAATCATTTATAGGAAACATGTTGTCTTCCCACCATGGTCACAGAACACAATCAGAACATTCTATGTACAGGATAACTGGTACAAATACATCTTAAAACAGAGGATTATATAGACAAAACATAACACTAGCCTAATACTTCTAGATAATACTAACCTTTCTGTTTGGCCATCAGAGAAGGTCAAGGCTATTCAGTCCATTTATAAGACTACTGTCATGAATTCTTAAAACCCCTTTTTTGTAGTTTCTCTGAATATTGCACAGCCTGACCCTGGGTTGAATTTGCCGGGGTGTCCATTCATGAGAAAATTAGAAACTCTCTCAAATACTTGGCAATTAATCTAAATGTGTTCAGGTTTTGAAAGACTTTTCTTTTTCACTAGTGAATAATGGACTCCTATTTTTTTGAGGTGGGGGGGGGGCTTCCCCAAGACCGATGGGCAGCAACAATTGCTTCACTGAGATAATTAATCATCCATTAATTACAGGTGACCAATTTGTTAACAATTCTCAGGGTAAATATGAGTTGGGGTTCTTTGGGTTGTTTTTCTTTGTTTGTTTGTTTGTTTTCTTGTCTTGTTGTGTTAATGTCCTAAACAACAGGAGAAGAGAACAGGAAGCATTCGTGTTTAATATAACCAAAACTCTAAATACAAACTGAGTAAGATAAGTCATGCAATATGGTATCCACAGCAGTATACAATGCAAATAAAGTTAGCAGTTGTCTATGGGACGCCGTTTGTAAACTGAAACATGCCGACATTAACAGCAACATTTTTCCACATTTAGCTCTAAATCTTACAAAAACATGTTTTTTCGAGTCATTTTTTACAACATTTAGTAAAATATTTGTAACTTTTCATATTTAAAACAGGATTTTAAATGTTAAATCTAAATGCTAAATGTTAAATCTAAATGTTAAATGTTAAATCTAAATGCTAAATGTTAAATGTAAATATTATATTTAAATGTAAATGTTAAATGTTAAATCTAAATGTTATATATAAATCTAAATGTTAAATGTTAAATCTAAATATTATATATAAATCTAAATGTTAAATGTTAAATCTAAATATTATATATAAATCCAAATGTTAAATGTTAAATCTAAATGTTATATATAGATCTAAATGTTAAATGTTAAATCTAAATGTTATATATAAATCTAAATGTTAAATGTTAAATCTAAATGTTATATATAAATCTAAATGTTAAATGTTAAATCTAAATGTTACAGGAAACTAAATATTTAGCTAATATGCAAATTTATTGTACGGGTCAACGGAAATACCAAAATAAAAGCTTCAAGAAAACCTCCCGCGCTAAAGTGTGCCGGTCGTGGTCAGGTTCTGTGTTTGCGCTCCTCTTACGGTCACTTTTGACTGCCATGAGCTGCTTCGACTATTCCCTACCAGCATGTCCAGCGATTTAGCTGAAAACATTGGAAGAGCCATTTTGTCGGCCATCCAACGATTCAGCGGTAGTGCACCCGCGACCTCACAAACGCCGCAGCACTTGGTAAGTTTATTGTATAGCATTTTGGACGGGCTGATAGCAGTGTTAGCGAAACTAGCAAAGCTAAATTACTTAGCTAGTCCTCAATTATTTCATTTGGTAGGCAGCAGACAGAGATCGAACATCATACAACTCTATTTATTTATTTGGTAGGAAGGTAACAGTCGTTCTTGATGTAAATGTTTCCTTAGGAATCCAGCAATGCACCTGGACCAAGTAGACCTGCCGTCTCCACTGGGATACCATACTGCTCGGTAGGCCTTCTTACACATATCATTTAGCTGACTGATTTTTGTTTTTTCTTTGGTGTAATATGTCACCTTAAATTAAATCCTGTCAAAGTAATGATTCTGATTCTACATACATTTCATCTTCTTAGGGGTCCATTACTAGCAGTGTCACATCACCACCAACAACATTCACAAGTTTTACGTCATATTTTATTACTGTTTTTGCTGTGAAGTGTCTTTTGATTGCTCACTTTCATATTTTAAAACTATTGATAAAATATTACTCTAGCTAATCTGTCACAGTACAATTGCCTCAAATTACCCATCTTTTGTTATAGAATTGTGCTCATTGAGATTTTCTGTGCCGTGTTCTAGGATGGTTACCAAGGAAGGCTTCAGATTTCCAAAGAGGAATTGGAAAATGTTCTTTCCCTGAAAACATCTTTTACTGAAGCTGCATCTATCCTTTCCATCTCCAGGCCCACTCTGTATAAGTTACTGCAAGACTATAATATCTCAGAGTCAAAATTCAATGTAATCAGTGACCATGAGTTAGATCAGATAGTGTCCCAGATAAAAACTGAAC